GGACCTGAAGTGGGAGCCCAACACTGACACCATCATCAAGAAGGCCCAGCAGAGGATGTACTTCCTAGCTCAACCTGCCTAAGGAGCTCCTGATCCAGTTCTACACAGCCATCATCCAGTCTGTTCTCTGCACCTTCATTACTGTCTGGTTTAGATCTGCCACCAAAAAGGACAGGAGCAGACTACAACGGACAGTCAGGACTGCAGAAAAAATAATTGGTGCCAACCTGCCCTCCATTCAGGACTTATACATTTCCAGAGTCAGGAAACGGGCAGGAAACATCACTGCAGATCCATCTCACCCCGGACACAACCTGTTCCAGCTCCTCCCCTCTGGTAGGCGCTACAGAGCACTGTACGGCAAAACCAACAGACACAGAAGCAGTTTCTTCCCACAAGCCACTATGATGAACCGCTGATTTCTGACTCACTCTCAGGTACAATTCCTGTGCAATATTTATATATATTTATTCACCATTCTCTATTTCAGTGCTGTGCATACTATGTCATATTGTATATACTGTATACCAGTACACCTACCTCAGGTGTCATAAGGTCATAGGTCTTATTTATTTTTTCCAGCATCCTTTGCACTATGCTCCATCACACTGTGTACATGTATGCATGTATGTGTACCTGTATATCATATGTACATAATGAGAATAATAGTTTACTCTTGCATCCTTTGTACTCTGATCACTGCACTATCTGTCAATATGTCTATATTGTTTTGTTCATAGTGTGTATATTAGTGTTGTCTATACTGTAGCTTGTGTCTGATTTTATTATTGTGTTATGGTATTTTTGTATGAGTAAGCACATCATGAGCAATGTACAATCCTGAGTCAAATTCCTCGTATGTGTACACATACCTGGCAGTAAAGCTGATTCTGATTCCCTGTGCACCAAGAATGTATGTGCCAAATCTCATGGCAATCCACCCAATAGTTGTTGAGATATTTCAGTCTGGACCAAAATGGTGAGCCGACTGATGATCTTTGCCGTCCAATTAATCCACACTGATTTCCACCACCATTTGCTGTTTGTGTCCTCCTTGATGCATTTTTTAATTTGGAATATTATCAGTTTGCAACAGACAAGTGATAATCTGTCTGACGTCAAAAATACACCAGAAACGCTTCAAAACAGCTGGTCGTGTGTGTTTCCATGTATACACAGGTATATTAACAGCTACCCAAGTATATTTGGCGACCCATTTTAGAATTTTGCAGAGAAACACAGAACGACATCTAATCTGATGTAGCCTAACGTTATACGCGGACAAGGTAGAGATTTTAGATTACAGAGCGACAGTGAACGTGCCGTTGCAGATGTCAGTCAGTACTACGCTGGTTTCGATGCTGCGCACTTGCAAACGGAATAGCAGGTGAGTTTATTAAACACAGCGACTTTAAAAGGATACTGCTGATGGAGAAAATGAGCAGGGCCGATACTCCTGCAGGGAGACACAGAAAGAGGTGGAGCAAGCTGCTAGCTATGCAGAGAGAGAGAGTGTGGGGAAAAGACAAGTGAAGAGAAAGGGGGCAGATTCTAGTAGTGAATAAACACTAAAATAAGGTGGAAAATGACCTAGAATAACATACTAGAAATACAAATAGGCAACAGGCATTTACATCGCTACCGCTACACCCATCCGTCCTCGCCCCCCACTCCGCCAGCCCTGCCCCCACTGTCTAAATTGTGTCGGATTTGCTTGGTTACACAGGCCCTTTTTATATATAGTCTATGTGTAACACCCCCAAACTAGTTCCCAATTGACCAACTAGTGTATAAAATAAGCAGGCAACAATAGAACACGCTGTACAAAATATAACCTCCAAATTTATTTGTATAAAATAGACATGCAAAGGGTTAAAACAAGACTGAGGCTAAGATAGTTAAAACGAGAGTTCAAATGGGGGAAACTGTTAGTTAAACGGAACTGCAGTTTGTCATGGCTGGGTGTGCTCAACTTCGTCTTCCTGCGTGGGCGAAGCCAAACACAACAGGAACGGGTCTGCTGTTGGTCACAGGCTGGTCGGTTGTAGCCTCACTGCTTGGGCCTCTGGTAACTCTACTAAGTAGCGGTGGCTCTACACTGGCAGCTCACTCTAAGTGCTCATCCCTCACACTACCACTGCACTCAAAATTGGCTGATACAGGTCTACCCCGTTACATATGCACAGGCTCTGACAGTGTAGCAGCCCTAGGTGAGATTTGAAATTTGCCCCCCCAGCAGCCGAACTCATAATTGTAGCATTATAGATGAACAGCCAAGACAATAATCATGGTCAATAACGAAGAAATGTGATCAGCCTCCATATAGTCTTGTCAACCTCCACATCATAGCCTAAACTGGGAGACCAAACCCAACCTGGGATCTGGGAATGTGTCCCCCCCCATAAACTGTGTTTCAACCCAGAGACTGTTTTCTTGCATTGAATATATGAGGTAATTTTCCTGAAAGGCAAAAGCATTGGTTTAGTTTTAATGGTGGAGGGGACAAATTAAGAAGAGGGACTGGGGGTTCTCCCCCAGGAAGTTTCATGCATTAAAGACTTAATTTCCTGCATTCTGGTGAAAATTTCGGCACCAATTTATGGTTTATCTATATAAAAGGAAAAACAATATTCAGACGGCAGGCTCTCAGGCATTCTGCAGCTATTGCTTTTAAACATGTTTTCTCCTGTAGATCTACTTTTCTAATTTAAAAAAAATCCCTGCTGAGTCAGCACACATGCGTAGTCTTCTTAAGACTAATGTGCAAGGAATAAATAATTTTATTCCTTGCACATTATGAGCCCCAGTGCCACCGCTCATTATTCTGGATTTGTTGTACCTAAATAAAAAGTTTTGTCACAGCTCAATTGGATGATTGTGAAAGTCATTCTTTTTTTCATTATTGCTAAAGTAGTTGCCTTTAAATCTTAAGGTCTTTGAGGGTGAACTGATCTTCACTGTGGACTGTTCATTCATTGTAGACATTGAAAATGAACTCCAGGATGTAGCTGTCCACAAATACTGTACAGCATGTAGCCTAAGGAACAATCCTTGTCTTATAGCAGACATAGACCATTGAACTGGTTACCTTAGCCATCATCGAAACAATTGCCCCCCCTGAGAGATTTGTCAGGAGCCACCACTGCTTTCTGGGCTACACTGTTGTTAACTCACACACTTGGCCAGTTGAAGCCTGTGTCTCAGTATGTTGAGCTGAGGTATATAAAATAAAATAAAAATAATGGAACAGCTCTTAAAATGGTAGCAGAGATTCTCCTGAAGGAAAGTGCCAAGGGGAAGTGAATGAGGACAGATTAAAATGACTAATGAAGCAGAGCTTTAGTCATCTGTGCTCTCCCCTGTCCTTCCCAATGATAGAGAGACCTTTGACCTTCCCCCTCCAGACAAAACCGAAGAGGGGGTGAAAATGTATTTACTAAAGGCATATTTACCTCCCCCACTGAATCTCCAATCATTGATTTTGTTCTGAGAAAAAAACTTGTTCTGTCTCTGTCCTTCACTTCTTTTCCTTACACCTATTTTTTTGTAACATCATTCTCTGTTCATAGCAATATCGTCACTGACCTTTAAACTACTCACCGTTGGTTGCTTGTAATTTTGTGATTAACAATCTGAGCTTTTTCTACTGCTCCATATATTGCAAGTCACTCTGGATGAATGCTTCAGCCAAATGCCAAAATTGTAAATGCAAATGAGACAGGTACAAGCACTAAAATATGAACAGATTTGATTACTGCTAAGAGCAGGTGGTGCCTTTGTGTGTGAGTGTGTGTATTTGTTTGTGTGCGTGTGTGTGTGTGTGTGTGTGTGTGTGTGTGTGTGTGTGTGTTTTAGAGGGGTTGGCTGTCAGAGGTGCATCTACATTTAGCAACATCTGTTTAAGTGAATATAACATTTAGGGTTTTAAATAAGATCCTACATATTTTATCTTTTTGCATCATGTGAATCATCAATGCATATGTTGCTCCATTAGTTTGACCAGCACTATAATGCTCCATCTCTTTAGGCTTAACTACAACAAATATGCAGAAGAGTGTACACGCGCATGTGCGTATGTGTGTTTGTGTGTGTGTGCATGCGGCCCGTGCAGGGCTCAGTTGGACATCAAATAATAGGCCGTCATTAATCTCTGTCACACTCTCCATGGACTCGGGAGTGTGTGTTTGAGTGTGTATGTGTGTGTGTGCATTAGAAGGAGGGGGAATGGGGGCTAGGTCAAGTGTGTGCGTGTGTGTGTGTGTGTGTGTCTACTCTAGAGATGGACTAAATGTGAACAAGACAAAGGAAGGGTTATGGGCTTTAGAACAATTTCCGAGGGATGTGTGTGTGTGTGTGTGTGTGTGTGTGTGTGTGTGAGAGTGTGTGAAAAAGTGACATATGGACGATGCACATGGGTCTAGCCACAGCATGTCATTGAGGATATCTTATCTGTGAGTGAGTGGCAGCAGTATGAATGTTATCTCTTTTTCTGAAGTTGTTATTATGTTCCCTCAGTCAGAGCCACTGTGACACGTTCTTTCTGTCTGACAAAATCACGAGTGTCACCTTCCTCTCTGTCTTCCTCTAGCATAAAATACTGTTTTCTTCTCACAAAGACGTACTTTTCTGTAGAGGATTTTATTTAAAACTAGGCTGTGTAAGAGATGTGCAGCGCGATCATACGTATCCCATATGTTTAGCCAGTGACTATATAGGTGTTTTCCTACATGTTCAGGCTGTTATAGGAGTTATACGTTTTCTTTATAAGGTGGTTGTTAAACGATTATAATAGAACTTGTTATTCATCAAATTTTCTTATTATAGAAGTAATATGAGTGTAACTTGAAAATGTTATATTTTGTCGTTATAGTAAATAGCAACAGTGTTTGTTTACAGCAGTGGAAGAGTTGCTCCAGTGGGGCGGGGTGTGGCAGGTTTCTCCACCAATCAGCATCACCCTTCCCCGAGCAAGCGCTGAAGAGGCGGAACTTGTGGCTCTATCAGCCAATCAGCGTGTACCTTCCTCAGTGCTGGGAGAAGTTAGCTGTCGGCTGGCAGTCTGGTCCGGAGCCACGATGGATGCAGTACCATGCCTTCTGGTCGTCCTCCTGTTCTGGACAAGGATACAAGAAAAAAACGGTGAGTGCCCTCAGATGTACAATAGAGAGTTGTGTTTTGTGCTTCACAAAAGTTACACTGTCGGGTCAGGACAGTTCCGCTAGAAAAGGTCTTTGTTCAAGAAGCCTGAAGAAGCAGTGTGTGTCTAACTAAGATGGCGCAGGGTCGGCGGCCAGCCTCCTGCTCCCTGTCTGAGGAATGTTTATTGTCTGGGAAAAAAAGGAGCAGGGAGCTAAAAGTCACATTGGGTTTAAAAGGACCGACGGCTATAGCTCAGGATCAAAGCTGGCCCCTCTTTGGCTAGGTTTTGGTCACAGCTTTTGGATTCTACTTTGCCAACAAAAAGCACCGGAGTCCGTTCAATAGTCCTCAGTTTCGTATATACAAAGTTGGCAGCATCACTGAGTTGATGTTTGCTTTTTGTCAAGCAGTGGTTGTTCATTTACCTTGTGAGTGGAGCCTGTCCCCTAGTAGTTTTGTGGAGCACATAATTGAACTGCATAAGTTTGTTGCCTCAGGCTGAATGCTTGTCTTGTTTCCTGTAATGTTTGTTCCTCGGTTGCTGTTTTCTCATCTCAGATGCTGTGACAATAACGTTCTTGGCTTGGGTTAAGTTAACAGATGTTTGGAGTCTTTAAGTAAAGTGGGCAATTAAATTCCTGACTTCACGTTATTTCTCGAGCTAATATTTGTTTTCCAGCCTGGTAGATTTTGTCTCTAGCTTGCTACCCTCTTTCTGGTTAGTAATATGCTGCAAAGAGCGTTCACTGGGACTTTAACTTGCTATGTGACACATACTCCGCATCACGTTAGCCTGCTAGCTGTTAGCTACGGCCATACCGCTGTTGAACTAACACGCTGTGTTTGGACATTTTTGTGTTTCTCTGTAACTTAAGAATACAGACACCGTCACGACTGTCAGGGTCTGGGAGTTTTTCGTGTGATAGGTGATGACTTTAGTCTTCATAGTTTAGAATTGTGGCATATAGCGGGTTTGCCCCACTACGGTTAAACAGCTGGATGTCAAAATATTAGAAACAGTTTCTTCAGCACTTCCTCTTCCAAACAGTTTAACAGTGTGCCAAACTCCATTCAGAATATACCAATTTAATCCTGCGTAGTACTATCGATGTCTTAAGCGAGTCATTTTACTCTTCTGGTGCATTTGGCATATACATTTCTGATCGGCACATCATTTTACTAAAAGTCGACTATGAAAATAGCTGTGCAGTGATAGTTGTGTGGAAGAAGACAGCAGTTGATTTTTATTTTATATATATATTATTTATTTATTTATTTAAGAAAACCTGTTAGATGTCATTCATTAATGCCGAATAACGGGACTCTCCTAAATCTGCACGGAAGAATCTTGAGTCATGTGTAATGGGGTGTTTATGCTTACCCATAAGCTCTACAGTATTGAATTACCCGGCTAGATTTGTGAATTGGATTTGACGTTTATAGCTCCTCATTAGAGGAAGCCACTGATACCAGTCACCACCGCCGCTACCATTCATGCTTGCTGTTGTTAACGATGAGATTTTTATTTTGCAGCGGAACTGTTAGTGTTTCCATTGGGCAGCGTATTGCAAATTAAAAGGCTTTTCTCATAGGTAGTGGATGGGTTTTTTCTTACTGACTGGCAGACTCATGCGTTTCCTTTGTGTGACATTCCTTTGTGTAGAGCGAGAGGGAGAGAGAGAGCCACATCATGAGTGTAGGGGCATGATTTTCAAACGGCATATATAAAGATCTCATCAGAACCTCCCCATGCCAAAAGCAGGGTGTTGTCCTTATATTTACCCCATCCCTGCCTCCAATGCAGGCTGGTTATTAAATTGATATGTTGGCTCAGGGACACACAAGAAGGGAGGGAATTCCATTCTCTTTGTCCAGCAATAGGATTGTCATGGCGTGGGTCCATGGCCAGAGCCGCATCATTTACATCAGAATAGAATTCAGTATTTTAGATGCAGATAATATGACCCACAGATTAGAAAAAGGAACGGGTGCACCAGCGCACATTTCAGAGGTTCTGTGAGTGACATGAATATCAAGGCTGTATATTAGATTTTATATACATTCACAAAATGATGGCTATGATTTAACCAGAGAGCACCTTCATTGACATCTAATCATGTCCTGTTTCTGTTGAGTGTTCAGGACCACACCCCTGCAGCACACACACTTGTATTAGAGGCATTCACGTACAGCAGTGTACTACACAAACAAAAGCATCTTTACCCATCCAAGTGCTGGCAGTGGGCTGAATTAGGTGGTGTCACTATTACTCTCCTCATTCTTCCAGCCGCAGTCATCCTCCCATCTAATAGGCTCTGTTCTCATGCTCTGTCACTTGTTTCTCCCCCTCAGCCCTCCAGTTTAATTTGTCTGCTCTGAGTCTTGTGCTTCTCCCCCTGCACCCTTTTTAGGCGTAGTAAGTAAATGGGCCATATTTAGCTGGAGTGGCTGGTATAAAGGGTGAGTGTCGTGTCAGCACTCTGAGTCAGATGCAAGCCACTGTCAAGGGAGACTCCAAATCAATCCTGACTGTCCCTGACAACAGAGGACATGGGGGATCCGTTTAGGATGTTATCTCAGCTGTTCTTTCTTCAGGGTTGTTACTAGGCTTCGGCGGTATCACAGTATTATGGTAAATCCCGACAGTATGGCCTCCAGCACAGTCAAATATACAGGCATTCCTCTTTCTGTTTAACTGATACGGAGATGCTATATTGAGCTGATGTGTTGTAGTGTACACCCTCAACGTGGGCAGGCGATGTCACTGAAACTGTCTGACATCATCTACAACACGATAACCCCGTTAACTTTTCCAGCAGCTGGTAAACAACATAAAAGCAATGGCAGATCCCTTAATCATGTCATGCGTGAGTGTTGCATAGTTTCACCAGAAGGTGCTCTGCAACTCCCTGTTCAAAACAGTGCTACACATCCACCACAAAGCAAAGCAGTCAGCCAAGCGGAGTCTTCTGGAGCATGCAGAAAAAACAACGGAGTGTAACTGTTACCGGTGAGTTGGTCATTTTTTACGTGAAATACATGACTTAAATAATAAAAATAGGCCTCATCACTTCTCCTCTCCTGAAAGCATTCATGAATCATGCTCACTAACCCTCGCGTTTTTAACTGGTTTTCCTCCCAGGTCACAGCAGTATGTTTAATGTTACAGTAGGTGAGTAGTGGAGGCTAGGCTACTGACAGACGTGATTGTAGATGTCGAGCTGCAGCTAACGATTTTACTCAAAGCTTCTACAGATTAATTTATCGCTGAATCGTTTAAGAAATATGTTTGCTTGACGGCGGCGCCCCCCCGCCCCAGTAATGGGAACAGCTGTTTAACTTAAGTCATGACTGTTATGGTGAGTGGATAGTGCCAAAGCAAGGATTATCAAGAGAAGGACAAGGAGCAGAATACCCTGCTGTGGCAGCCAGACCGTGTGGATTTTTAAATGGGAGTGATTTGGACTGTAGACGGGAGAACGGAGGGGACTTGGCGGCGCGTGCATGGAATGAACATCTTCTGGCGGCAACGTTATGGCGGCGTATATTAAAATTAATATATGCTGACTGTGACGTTGCAATCCCAAAACATTCCAAAATATTTTTTTTCGGCATGTAAATTGTCTCCTTTTCAATTTAATCGCCATTGGCCCCCCAGAACCCATACTGGTCGGGCTCTGTTCAGAATTAATAAATATACAAGAGAACAGCTCTTGCTCAGGCGGGCCTTAGGCCACTCCACTCTGCAGCAGCGCGAGCAGGGAACACTTGTAGTGCTTATGTGCTCTGACATAGGGCTGTGCGATATGACGATATCTATCATTTGACAATAGAAAAACGTCTATTTTTAACAATTATGGTCTATCATTTATTTATAATTGTGTTGCAAATTCCACACTTTACCGTAATATTTTGGTGAGGGAACAATGCTTTGCACCACAGTGAAGTTAATTTGAAGTTGGAATTCGACATCTATCGAATGTCCAACGTAAAACTAATATTCAACTTGAAACTAACTTCACTGTGGTCCGTTCTTATTATAATTGAAGGGAACCGCATGATGTCCCCAGAGACGCCCCTCTGGGACAGAAACTCCTTTCACTTTAGCTATGAAGGGGAAGATGAGCAAGGAGGAAGTGATGAGCTTTATGGTGGAGGGGTTACATCTCTTTGCTACCGTTGAGTTTGATGTTAAATGTATTATTGATATCTGCTCATTCACAGCAATATTCATGGACTTGATCCTCCTTTGATATTTTTACCCGAGTCAGAAACAGCTGACGGATCATTGATCATTCCTTGCTTAGAATATTGGAATCAGAACTGAGATTCATTTAAAACCGTATTCAATAATCATAATTGGAATCGATAAAATTGAAATGACATCCCTAACCGCCCTAACGACCAGACATGAGACTTCAAATAGGCTGAAAAATCTCTGCAGGCTGTCACTGCCTTCTGCCATGTTGCATGCTGCGCCTGCGTCTGGGAGACTGTTGCTAACTTTGGGTGATTCTGAACAGTACTCACTGTCAGTTTAAGGGTTAGTAAGTGCAGCAACTTAACAACACAGTTTAATGATATTAAAATTTGAAACAACAGTATCATTTGTGATTATTACTACTATTTATTCGTTATCCTTCTGTCACATACTGTACATATTTCCACACTATTTTTATATTTCTATATCATTATTTCTATTTCTTTAATACCTTGTTTAGCAACGTAAGCAACTGTAACAAAACACATTTCCCCTCAGGGATCAAATGAAATATTTCCGATTATGTTCCAGATATAAGACTGAGACATTAATGTGCATGTAAACATACTTGTGTGTCATTATGGAGATACTGTCCAACAGCTCCATACTAGTCTGCACACTGGTGTTTTGAAGCATTCTTAATTTTGTCATATTCCACTACCACTCAAAGGAAGGTTAGAATAGTTGAAGCGTCCTCTGGGGACAGCCAGTCATTGAAATTTGAAATGGAGGCTTTAAA